ATGTAGACTGATCTTTTCCAGTCCTCTGGCCACTATTGGGTTTTCCAAACTTGCTGGCATATTGAGTGTAGCACCTTAACAGCGTCATCTTTTAAGATTTTAAATAGTTCAACAGGAATGCCATCACCTCCACTGGCCTTGTTGTTAGCCATGCTTTCTAAGGCCCACTTGACTTCACTCTCCAGGATGTCTGGCTCTAGGTCAGCAACCACACTAAATCTGGGTTGTCTGGGACATCCAGATTTCTCTGGTTTAATTCCTCTGTGTATTCTTGCCACCGCTTCTTGATGTCTTCTGCTTCTGTGAGGTCCCTGTCATTTTGTCCTTTATCATGTCAATCTTGGCACAAATGTTCCTTTAACATCTCCAGTTTTCGTGAACAGATCTCTCCTTTTTCCCTTTCTATTATTTTCCTCTATTTCTTTTCACTGTTCGTTTAAGAAGGCCCTCTTGTCTCTCCTTGCTATTCTTTGGAAGTCTATATTCCATTTTCTGTAACTTTCCCTATCTCCCTTGCATTTTGTTTCCCTTCTCTTCTCTGCTATTTGTAAGGCCTTGTTGAACATCCACTTTGCTTTCTTGCATTTCCTTTTCTTTGGGATGGTTTTTGTTGCTGCCTCCTGTACAACGTTACGTGCCTCCATCCATAGCTCTTCAGGCACTCAGTCCACCAAATCGAGTTCCTTAAATCTGTTCTTCACTTCCACTGTGTATTCAAAAGGGATTTGGTTTACATTATATCTGAGTAGCCCAGTGGTTGTTCTTACCTTCTTCAGTTTAAGCTTGAGTTTTGCTATAAGAAGCTGATGATCAGAGCCACAATCAGCTCCAGGTCTTGTTTTTGATGACTGCATAGAGCTTCTCCAACTCTTTTGCTATAAGAAGCTGATGATCAGAGCCACAATCAGCTCCAGGTCTTGTTTTTGATGACTGTATAGAGCTTATCCATCTCCAGAGAAAATAATCAATCTGATTTCAGTATTGCCCATCTGGTGATGTCCATGTGTAGAGTCGCCTCTTGTGTTGTTGGAAAAGAGTGTTTGTGATAACCAGCTTGTTCCCTTGACAAAACTCTATTAGCCTTTGCCCTGCTTCATTCTGAACTCCAAGGCCAAACTTACCTGCTGTTCCTTTTATCTCTTGACTCCCTACTTTAGCATTCCAGTCCCCTATAATGAGAAGAACATCTTTCTTTGGTGTCAGTTCTAGAAGGTGTTGCAAGTCTTCATAGAAGTGGTCAATTTCAGCCTCTTCAGCATCGGTGGTTGGTGCATAAACTTGGATTACAGTGATGTTGAAAGGTCTGCCTTGGACTCGCATTGAAACCATTCTCTCATTTTTGAGATTGTATCCCAGTACAGCTTTTCCCACTCGTTTTTTGACGGGATTCTTGCCCACAATACTAGATATGATAATCGTCTGAATTGAATTCACCCATTCCCGTCCATTTTAGTTCACTGATGCCCAGGATGTCAATGTTTATTCTTGTCATCTCCTGTTTGACCACATCCAGCTTACCAAGGTTCATTGATCGTACATTCCAGGTTCCCATGCAGTATTTTTCTTTGCAGCATCCAACTTTCCTTTCACTTCCAGGTATGTCTGCAGCTGAACGTCCTTTCGGCTTTGGCACAACCACTTCATTTGGTCTGGAGCTACTCATACTTGTCCTCCGCTCTTCCTCAGTAGCATGTTGGACGCCTTTCGACCTGAGGGGCCCATCTTCCAGTCATATCTTTTCGCCTTTTGTTTCTGTTCATGGGATTTTCTTGGCAAAGATACTGGAGTGGCATTGCCAATTCCTACTCCAGGTAGATTGTGTTTAGTCGGAACTCTGCACTATGTCCTGTCCGTCTTGGCTGTCCCTGCACGGCATAGCCCATAGCTTCTCTGAGTTACACAAGCCTCTTTGCCACGACAAGGCAGCAATCTGTGAAGCACTACACATTAGGCCACTATAAACAACCACAGGCGTATTTCTCTCCCCTCATCTCTGTCTCCCGTAGCCAGCATGTGCATAGAAGCAACCCACAACAACAGCAAAGACGCGCGATTACAAACCTGGCTCCTTTCTCGCGCTCCCTCCTCCTCCTCCTCCATAGACACATCTTTCCGCCGGTGCTCCACAATGCTCCCTGGGAAAAGTAGTTTCCATTTAGAGGCCCGTAACGGGGCCCTAGGCCGCTTAAAACTACAACTCCCAGAAGGAACCGCTCTTCCCTTCGCTTTCCGCCCATACACGTGTTCCTTTGGTTTCGCAAGGGCCGTGAGTGAGGAAGGGGGGGGAGGTTGTCCGAAGAGGGCACGGGGGAGTTGCAGGAACGGTTCACCCGGCACGTTGCACGGGCGACCCTCCCTGGCCTGTTTTTCGAAAAGACGAGGCCATTTAACTTTTCTTTTTCTTACTCATCCAATTCGTTAATGCTATGATTTGAGAAGGAAGATTTAGACTCTCTGAAAATCCTTCCGTGTTAACGTAGTATTTGACGTTTCAAAGGTATGGCTTTCCCTCCTTGGACTCGACGTGGAAGGGGATGGGTTTCGAATTACCCCGATGAAAGAGGAGTCCTTGGATTCACACGATCAGTCGTGGGTTTGTAAGCGAGTTAGGCTAGGTAGGATATCATCCAACTTTATTGTAGTCCCCTGTCTCTGTTCTACCACCCCCCTCTCCCCGCCGCTTTCTCCCACTCAGCTTCAGGCACCCACCACGCGCGTGGCTTTCTTCCTTTACACTTGATCCTCACGACAGCCTGGTGAGGTAGGTCGGTCAGACTGTGAAGGAAAGGAAAGAAAGTGGCCCCGGGTGAGTCAGTGGGTGCTTGGCATGAGCTGAGACAGGTTCTCAGAATCCCAGGTGCAAAAGGAGAGCCAAAGGGAACCTCTCTAGGAAGCAGTACACCTGTGCTCCTTTGCTTTCTGTTCTTAATGACCCATTAAAGGTATCACCTGTCCCTGTATTTTTAAGAGTAGAACCTCCTCCTAAACTGAATGGGGCTTGTTTCTCCATAAAATTCACAAAACCCAGGCTATAGCTTGAACGTTTGTCACGCATGAGACACACTGGGCATATGCCAGGTTCGGTGGTCTTGCCTCTTGAAAGGTTCTCATGACGTATGGCTGAAGAAGGCTTCTGCCCCCAAGGGAGTAACTTCTTCACGAGATCAGAGCTTTCCTTTAGGTGGGATCTGGTTTTGATCTCCAAAATCCGAAGCTGTGTGAGTGAGGCCACAGTGTCTTGCAAGGGCCCAGTGCTGAGGCTAATTGGATTAAGTGTTAGTGCGGCTTACAGGTGAACCTGGGAGCAAATCCCATCATGTTCAACTGCGGGAGTTTGTGTAAAGTAGACACACATCAGTTTGCACATAAGGGGCTTTTATTCGTTGCAGCCTAATTATGGAATATCTATCCCAGGAAAATTTGTTTTGTTTTAAGAGAGTTTAGTTTGTCTGGAAGTGGTCGTGCTGGTGTATTCAGTCATGCTGCTATTGTGTCTGTTTTATTTGTATTTATGGTTGCTTGATTGTTTTAGTCAGAGCCTGTTCACCACCTTGAAGCCAGTAAAGTAGAATGGAACCATCGACATATTTTAAATTACTGCTTTGCTCCATATTGTTTGAACCTAAATCCTGTTTTGGTCAAAATTTACATTTGATCTAAAGACTAATTTTGTTCTCTTGCCTTGCATTAAGACTCTGCAGTTGGGTGTTAACTAGTCAAAAAGATTTCGTCAATTGATCAGCATTAACAAAAAAAAAATGCTGAAGAATTTGGCAAAGTTGATCAATTAACAAAATCCTTTTCAACCAAGCAGATGTCATATCTCAGCATTTAGTATAAGACTGACAGATGACAAACTTGGAAGAAACAGTGTAGCTCTAATAGCGAGGTGAGATGTACCAGAAGCAATTAGTGGATATAATTTATTCATTTATTTCAAATATTTATATATCGCCTGACTTAGTGCCAAGCAGTACTCCAGGCAGCTTACAATCAAAAGCAGGAAAAATGTAATTCTTAAACCCACCCCACAAACCCAAGATTAAGCTTTCAAATACAAGTAATGAGCAAACTAATTAAAGCCAAACTGATGGTGTGGGATCAGGTCAGGAGAGGATACTGTATCTTTAAATGTTGTTCTACGGATTGGCTCAGGAAAGGATTCCTTAAATGTTTCTCTAAAAAAAAAGGAATGTTTTCAACATCCTCTTGAAGTTTCAGAGGGAGGGGGGCCTGACACAGCTCCAGCGGGAACCCATTCCAGAATGATGGGGCCACAGCTGAGGAGGTTCAGTTTCTAGCAGTGGTCTTCTGTACCTCCCTTGGTGTGGCCGCCCACAAGAGTAGAGCCTACAAAGATCACATGATAGGAGCCAAACTTCTGAAGGAAAGATTCTCCGACAAGTCGTGAGGTCCTAAAGGGCTTTGTAGATTAATTCGTAGTCTGACCGTATAATATCCACTAAATTTCTTGGAAAGCCTTCCCCACATGACCATTATCCCGGTCTGTATTCTAGCTGCAAATGCTGAAGAAGAAATTGAGAGCTTTTATGCAAATGCTCAGAGGGAAACTGATCACGCAACAAAACAGGATGTGCAGATAACCATAGCAAAAGCATTCTCTACAAAAAAAGTAGGAAATAAAGCAGAACCAAATATTTTCAGAAAATCTGACCTAGGATTGAGAAACTAAACAGGAGAGCAATTAGTAGAATCCCAAGAAACCAATAATTTGTTTATTGCAAACACATGCTTTTGGCAACTTAACAGGCAATTGTACATTTCAGTGTCACCAGGTGCCCAATATAGCAGTATAGTCAAATATTGTAGACTATATAATTGGAAACAAGAAAAACCTTTATTTTTTTTTCCTATGGAACTATATGGTCTAGCTGCACTGGGAGGAAGGCTGATGCTTATAGTAAGTGGCCTTCTGTTCAAAAGAGGACTAGAAATTATTATGGAAAACATGCCAACTTAAAACCCAGGTGTCCGCCGCTTTTTAAAATAAAGTTCTCCCTCATCTATGCCAAGCATGTTCTTGATTATTCACTATTAGATGCTGCCTCCTCTCAGCCCAGTTGCTGGCACTGAGCACAACACAGCCCTTCCACACACAGATTGATTCCTGGCACGCACACCCCAAGCAGCTCAGCGATGGTGTGGTGGCGGTCAATGACCCTTTGTGATCTGGTATAAAGATCTGTGAGTAGGTCCTGATCTGGAAGGTCACTCGTAATCTAGGTAGCCAGTTTCGTGACCTAGAAGAAGGGCTGCTAAAGTTTGGCTGTATGTGTGTTCTGAGCCACAGAGTGCTAGGAAATTGCAGTATGAATCATGGAAGTGTTGGAGGTTGTGCTGATCATTTCAGACATGCAATGTTCAAGTACTGTATGTAGCTTTTGTTTTTAAAAATCCATGATGCACTTTTGGAAATATCTCTGGGAGAAAGGGGGGGGTGCAATGCATGCACACATGTGTACACACACACACACACACACACACTTTCCCCATATTTCACTAGGTAGCCTTTGTATTAAAGCAAACAATTGAAACCAGCAGATCTGAATGTACTGTGTTTCACAGTCTTTGTCTGGCAGACACAGGGAAAGTTGCATTCTGCTTCTTTCGAGGCAAACGTCACCGCTTCAAAAAAGAAATTTGCTAACTAGAGCCATTCTTGGAGCTTTGTGAGTTCACTTATCTCTCCTGTATTTGGAGGGGGGAAAACTATCTCAGTCATCTGGTCTTAGAATCCTGTAGGTTCATAGCTAATAACAGTTTAAGTCTAAGATGATCTGTTTTATCAGATGGGACGGCAGTCTCAATTTAATGTGAAAGTTAATGTGGGTGACTTTTACATCCATAGGCCAGTTTTCCTTCATGCTTTTAGAGTACGGTAATTTCAAACACTTGGTCAGGCAAGTCCTTGGGCAACCTGGTGGATATTGCCAGTTGTCTAGGAGACTGCCTAGATGAGGCCTGTCACTCTCTCTCTCTCTCAGCCTGTCTTCCCCGACGGGTCATTGTGAGAATGGAAGAGGAGAGCCATGTGCACTACTTTGAGTTCATTGAAGACTATATAAATGTAACAAACTTGTGTGTGAAAGAGGATGAAAATGGTGGCAGAGGAGTGGAACTGCCAGAATCCCCCTCCCTGCATGTTTTATTTCATCTGGCTTGATCAAGCCTAAATTGGGCTTGTGACTTAGGTTGGATGCCCCAGTCAGCCGGGGGGGGGGAGGTATCATTTACATTGATCCCCATACGTCATCCCCTTTTACAGTGGGATGCCAATGCAGCTAGGAGTGAGTAACCCAACCAGCTTTGGGTGGTATGCTTGGCATGATGTCCAGACCCAGCACCCTGGTTCTTTTCTTACTCATCAGGCCAAAGAAATGAACCAACCACAGCTGTGAGTTCTGGACAAAGAGCCAAGTAAAGAAGCCATGTTGGGAGAACCCTAAACAGGAGGCCCATGGGCCAATCTGTTCATTCCCACTGCCACCAACACTCCATTGTAGTGAGTTTGGGCAACGTGTACCACCAGCATGGCTCCTTTGTTTGTGATAAGTGTGAATTCTCAAGGTCACTATAAGAATGGCTCTGACTTGAGAGTACAGAACACACACATGGCTTATCATGACTTTTGACCAGACCCAGTCTGCACTGAACATCCCTGCAAAAGAAAAACAAAAAACACAAACAACAACCCACAAATAAATTACATCAATTGAATCGGATATTATTGGCTGCAAGGACTGCTGTCTGTACTGTTGGCATTTCGCTTCCCTTTGACCTCTCTCTTTCTAATCCCGACCCACACATCCAGTCCTGTGTATATAAATCTGTCAACCTGAGGTAACATTGTAAGCATGTGATGAAGTCAGCGATGTCAGCAGAAGCTTGTGCCACAATGAATGGCTTCATCTTTAAGGTACCACAAAGACCTTTCCTTTATGGCAGACCTCCCTGTCCACACTTCTAGAAGATGAAATTGTTGACTTGCAGGAAATCTGGACTTCTGTTTAATTTTATTTTCAGGAATTTCATTCAAATGCGGTCCATCAGAAGACTGTCTGCATGCTATTGGAAGAACAACAGGTTTTCCCAGAGGTTCCAAAGTAATGGGCGACCAACTGCTCCCTTGGGGTCTCGATTTTTGCTGGACCCAGATAAAGTTTTTGACCATAACATGTGGTAAGATTAATAGGCTCATTGTAGGCAAACATACAACCTTTAGAGTTTCGAGGCCAAGAACTCTAAAACTCAACAGCAGTTTTGCATGCCTTCCTGTTGTTCATAGTCCTATTCTGGCATTAAGCCTGAAAGCATATAGGGCCAAAACTGTGCTGGTGGCATGTGGATGCAGGTAAGTACTGGCCCTGTGTCCCCATCTAGAAATAAGGTTGTGTTCATTGTGAAGGTCTGCACTTGGGGGCATCTGATAAGGTGGAACTTCCAAGCACAAAAACTGTGAAAGGTCATTTTACCGAAAGAGCTAAGAAGCCCATTTGCAGACGTTCATGATGACTGTGGAGAAGCTTGCCTTTCTTCCATGTGGAGTAGTGAGCTGGGGGCAGTAGTGCTCACAAGGGCATGCCCCTCACCCGCCCACGTGCAATAAGCTTAGTGCCTGAAGAGATTTAGTTTGTTGCTTCCAGAGCAGTGAAGTTTGTTTTGCGGTAATTGAGGTAATCTCAGTAGCAGTTGAACCTAGTTTGGAATGTATTTACAGCTTATTGTGAGTGACCAGTTGGAGAGAGAACCTGAGATACAAATGAAACGTGTTGCTTCATTCTTTGTCGGTTCATTTAGGGCACATCTGGGAGTCACCGAGGGAATAGGTCGTATGTGGCCTCAAGGCTTTTAGGGTCCCCGTATGCCCCATTTTTAGGCAAAAAAGAAAGAGTTGCACCTGTCAAATCTGTAGGCAATGCAGTTCTCCTTGAAAATAGTGAACTCTCACTGCTTCGATTAGATTAGATTAGGCATCCTTCAGTCTCGAGAGACTGTGGTATCGTGCTCTGAATGGAGAACTTGGAACAGCGTCTGGTGGTGGCTGAGGAGGCCAATTCGAGAGTGACAATCCCTTCTACGCTGAAGACAAATACAATCTGTCCCCTGGTTTTGCTGGTTTCGGGACTGCTCCTATAACAGCTTAAAAATAACCTAGAAATTCCTTGGGAAGGGCTGGTGCAGCCCATGGTGGTGTGGCTTGGATGAAAGTGTATCTTGAACTCTGTTGTTGTCCATCCCATTGTGAAGAGACCACCCATTGCTATCCAGGTGTCTGTCAAACCAAAGGCCATCTTTTAGTATTAGATGCCATGCACGATTTTTCTCTGATCTGTCGTGCATGTTTAAAAGGACCATGAGTGCCATTTCTTTCAGCCTTAAAAGCCACATAATAGACAACATTGCAGACTGGAATCCATTATAATCAGCATTTTCAACTACCTAAACAGAGAGCACCAGGGGGTTGAAACTAGGAAATGGCAGAATCCAAGGGAGGTGATTTTAAGTAATTTGAGTGGATGCCTTTTTTCACCATTATGAAGATGTCGGTGATGGATCTTCTGTTACTGTATTTTAAGAATCTAGAGCACAGAGAATTTGAACATGTCTACGTTGAAACCACCGATGGATGTAATGATGGGAGGGAGTTCACTTCATTCAGAATAGGTTGGGAGTAAGCCCTTGTGGGCTTCTTCCCACACCCAGAAAGGACAAGTGAAGCATTGGCAGTGAAGCAGTGCTCCACTACAATCTTGTGGGCTGTGGCTACAAATGTTCTGGTGGCATGGAAAGGACAACTGTGAGCAGGCCTGTGGGTGGTGGATGAGTTACCACTTGAGACAATGGCTCACTGAGGCTTATAACAGGGCCAGACCCATCAGCGGCTCATCATTTGACACCTCTGGCAAGAGCAGTCACTCAGCTGACTGTGGTATTGAGGGTGAGAGACCAGGGATTCCCCTAATCCTTTTTCTCCTTTGGCTGTGGCTCCACTCAGCGCTGTTGTGTGCACCTCCCCCCCATAAATTTCTTGAGAGGAAATGCAGTCCATGATAGAAGGATGTCATCACCTCCCCAACCGATTAAGCCATGCGGAATTAAGGAGATTATTCTCATTTATTAGTGGGCCATGACGTGTGGCACAAAATGATTACTGGAGGTCAGAATTGTTTCTCTTTTTATTTCTTCACAGACAGAGTTCTTGCTGTACGGGATAAAGGGAATTCTTAATCCCAAGCACTGCCGTCCTTGATAAGGAGCCCTTGGGGTTCTCCTGACGCTGTTGCTCTACTTACTTCTGGAGTTCTTTTTGCAGGGCAAGGGTGGAATGCCCCTCTTTTTAATACAAGTGCCTATATTCCAGATTTTCCATGAATACGGAATATAACTATGCCATTTGAAGTGGTCTGTTATGACCATGTTCCACCTCAGTTTGGGCCAGGGATCTCCACCTGAAAACTTAGATGGTTCATACGGAATATAACTATGCCATTTGAAGTGGTTTGTTATGACCATGTTCCACCTCAGTTTGGATGCAGAGAGTTAAGGGTGTGAATCTAGTGAACTGCTTTGTCGCTTTCCCCTTGAAACATAACCGCTTTTATAGAAGAGCATAGCCTCCACCCAAACCTCCATCACTCTTGCTCCCTCTCATCCTCGCCACTTTCCTCTCTGTGTCTGTCCCTCCCACTACCAAGGCGTGAATTTTTGACTGTGGTTTTTATTGGGGAATGCTCTCTGGGCCAGGGATTTCCACCTGAAAACTTAGATGGTTCAGTTCCACTAGGGAACTGAATCATCTTGGACAATATATGCTGCATCTGAAACTTTTAAGGTATAGCATTCCATGATAAGGCACTGTGAAATTGCACTTGACGTGTATATTCCTTCAATACGCATTATTATCTTAGCTTTGGTGGAGGTGTGTCATCATAGCAACCCCCTTCCCACCATGCTGATTGGCTTCTTTGGCGAATCTTAAGGCAAAGCTGTTGTATTGTTGGCTTCTTTGAATTGAAACCTTTGGTGAGTTTAGCACTTTCTCCTTTGTTTTACGAAGCCCGCTACTGTGGTCTGGAATTGGCTTCCATAATCTTTTATTCCAGCCTGGCTGACATGTGAGCGCCATTACTGGGCTAGAGAGATTTAAATCTTTATCCTACTCAAATCCATCTGTTGCATTGTGTAATTAAAGGCTCTATCCAGCCCACCTCTGGATGGTGTGTTTGGTTGCATTTAGCAGCCAGCTAACACAAGGGAGTGATCATCAAGAACTCCTACAAATAAAAAACAGCCGCATCATTCATTTCTCATATTACTCTGTAAGCCTGTTAGGTACATATCTGTACAACAGGCTTTGACTTACTAAGAGAGTGGAACTTTATAACTATAAATCCGTGGTGAAACGGTGGGCACATCGGGTAACTGGTACGTAATGGGCCAGTGTATCATGTCAACATAATGAATCACTGATCAGATGACACCGAAAAATTATACACTTACCAGCTTGTTTTATATGTATTCAGAAAGAGAAGCTATAAAACAGAAGCAGCTCTGCCCTTTGCCATCATTCCTCACCAAAGAACGGGTAGAGAGGAAGGCTGTGAAATGTCCCACAGAGAAGGCAATGAAAAGGCAAAGTACCGCAGAGAGATCCAAATGCTCACGTCGTATAGCGGGCACTTAGGAAGGGGCATTATGAGGTATTGGCAGCCGGAGCTGCTGGAATGCTTGATGGAGCCAAAAAGAATATAAGAATGGTGGGAGATCGGGGTGCATCAAGACCTACTTTAAAACCAAGGGGTGCATGTCATGGAATCTAAAATATACAGTGCGGTTTTATTGTATGTGGTGTTTAAGGGGGTGGGGAGGGGAAAGGTTATGGAAGCTTTTAAAAATGAGAAGTATTTTTTTTCCTCCTACAATTCCCCTGCCCCCATTTCCCAAGTGTTGTTTCTCTCCCTCCTCCTTTTATTTTTGGTAGGGACCACATCCAATGGTCTCAGGAAGATGAAGAAAGAGCTGCAGAAAAAGCCATAGAAAATTCACTTGTCAGAATCCAGCCAGAGTTACAAGGTAAAACTTCCTTTGAAAAAGTGATTGCTATCATGCAGCCGTTCTTTTGTTTCCACACTGATTTCTAACGCTACCATATCATAATTCCTACTTTTGCATCAACCATGATGAATATTATCTTAATCACCTTGGTTCTGTCCTCCAGGCCCTGAGATACTGAACTTGTTGCTCATTGGCCTTTGGAATTATAGGCTGTAATGTTACTGTGTGAATTTAGTGTAAGCTTTTTATTTAGATTGGATTTTGTAGAAGGCTTTTGGTGGCGTGCCTTTCCTAGAATTAATGACTTTGATCTGAAAAATAGACATTCCGGTTAAAATGAGCCAATCTTTTTAAAAAAATCTTTATCTCAAATAATGCATCCTGGTGTCATGGCCGGATGCATTATGGTAGAAGAGCCATAGAATCAAGGGTGACTGAGAGAATGGAAAAATCAGCAGATGGTAAAGCAAGAAGGGGGAACTTTTTGCAGCCAGGGACTGAATTTCAATCCGGGAAGTGTCTTAGGGGCTGCATTTTGGCATTGGGGTGGTGGTGGATTGAGGGCACCCTCGGGTAAGTGGATCAAATATAAATCTGAACTAGAGGTGGGGGTATTCATATATGACTATCCCTGCACAGGTGGCATTAATGAGGGCCTGGCCCCACAGGGCCAGACAGTCCACTCACCGATCCACCGCAGATGTGGACTGTGCGATTCTACCAATGGATTCGCAGCTTGTGATCCGCTCCCCACTCCTGGCGGGAGGTGGAAGGACAAGCCTTGTTGCAAGGTCAAAGAGTGGTGAGCGGATCACGCACTGCGGATCCATTGGTAGAATTGCGCGGTCCATGTCTGCAGTGGATTGGTGAATGGACCGTCTGGCCTCATGGTGCTGGATCCTCATTAATGCCACCTGTGCAGGGATATTCGTATACCAATACCCCCATCACTAATCTGTACAGTTTTGCTCAGTGCACCAGGTTTCAGATACTCAATGTTTAGTTGAATCTTCAGCTGTCTTTTCAAGAATAATTTTCGGTATAAAAACTTCCCAGTTGCTGAACCAAAATCTGTGTTCCACGCAAAGCCTTCCAGGCTACAAACTAGATGTTATTTCTATGCAAAACCTTCCCAGTGTGGAAACCAGCACCCCTCCTGCATTGTATAGCAGAACGATCCTGATAAACAAAGCTCTACTTTTGAGCTATAATTCTTCCCCATGGTCATCAGGAAAGTTCAGGTAGTTCAAAATATGGTGGGTTAGCTTTAGTTCCAGGACCATGTGTGGGAACAGGCCTATTCAACTCAATAGAATATTTGAGTAGGCCACTGTTGCTAAGAGCCACTTTGGGTCCCTTGTTGGGAGAAATGCAGCATATAAATAAAGCTGCTGCTGCTGCTGCTGCTGCTGCTGCTGCTGCTGCTGCTGCTGCTCCTCCTCCTCCTCCTACTACTACTACTACTACTAATAATAATAATAGAAAAATAGGCCCATTTTTAAAAAAGGAAATGGATAGATAAAAACAGCACATTTTCAGTAAATGGAAACCCCAAATTTGGAGAAGTTGACCCTGTTGTTGGCTATGAAATAAATTTCTTAATTCTTTTTCAGCAGAGGGTTCAGTACTTGGAATTTTAAATAAGCCTTCAAGAATACAATTTTAAATAATTTGGCCAGTCACAGAGGATGGATATGGAGGGGAAATGCACAAATCTTTGAGGGAAGTGGGTTTTATTTTGCATAATGCCTTACTATGTGCCAGCTTGCTTCATTAACGAAATAGTAATGGAGAAGTGAAGGCTTAAAATCTGAAGAATAATTGAGCTCTCTGTGATGAACTATATATTTTCCTAGACTATCTTTTCAGAGAGATTTCACTGTGTCTGTTTCATTATTTTTTGAGTAATAATTATCTGTATATTGTGGGATGGAATTAGATCTTACATTAATTTGTGTGGCTCCTGCCAAGAATGCCAGCTGCATATTTAGTCCCTCCCTCCAAATCTGGAAGCAATGAATTATAAGCAAGTTAAAAGCAACAGAAGAGCTTGTCACACCTTGAAGACTCACCAGTTTTATTTCCCATAACCTTTTGGAGCATGCAGATGATGAAAACATAATAATGTAGCCATGACAGAAGACTCTCTTTTGGATTTTACTAAAACAGATTAACACTGCTGCCCCCTGCAAATTTTGGAATTACTTGTAGATCATTTGTTTTTGTTGAAGTTGTAACAAGGGTGTGAGGAAGGTACATTTCAGAAGTAACATAAGAAATTATGACAAAGTTAACTCTTAGCTAGTTACACCAGCATAATGCAAACAGTGTGGTTTCTGGAAGCAGATTGCCTCAGGTAAAGAAATGACTGCAGACATATGTTGAAAACTGAGTTGTGTTTCTAGCTTGTAACACATTCTGTCTATCGTGATTTCATTACGAGTAGGGTTGCCAGACGTCAGGCAAAAAGGAGGACATAGCCTAATGTCCTCCGTCCGGCAGGCAAAGATAAAAAAATTTAATATGTCAGGCTTTTGTATATTTTATGTTATAATTTTGGATGGGAGGGGGAGAGGTGGAAGGACCCCCCTCCCCCTATCTTCCCCACCCCCATTACCTTCCACCACTGCTGGAGCGCAGCCCTCGTCCCCTCCCGCTGCCGCCGCGGCTGCTTGGTGCTCCGCCATGCCCGCCCAGCCCACGTGGAGCCCAGAAAGGCAGCGCGAGCAAAGCGCCAACCGCCAAGCCAGGCAAGAGCAAGCAGTGCCTGAGTGCATCGGGGCAGGAGCAAGCAGTGCCTGAGCGCATCGGTGGGAAGGCGAGTGCCCGGACTCTGTGTGTTCAAAGTCCCTTTCGGGAACTCCAACTCCCACACTCCCCAGTCTTGAACTTATGACTCTCGGGGGAGGGGAGGCTGCCTCATTCGGTTTTGCCCAGTGCCGCTTTCCCCCTGCCTATGCCGGAGCCTTGTTTGGGCGTCCAGATTAGCAAGGTTGCCTCTGAGCCTGTGCAGAGTGCGAGCAGCCGGGGGATCCCACAGCTGGGCCTGGGTGGGTTCAGGTATAATTGGCTGTTTAAATAATGTTTTTTGGGATTTTGAAAAGAAGCCTCTGTTGAATTTATTTTTATTTTATAACATGACTGTTTCTTGGTCGGTTCACTAAGAGACATTTATCGGCAGATATTGTAATAAAATTGTATTGATTGCGGGTTTAATCCGGAACGATTCAAATGAAACATTCAATACGTCCTCCTCTGTCCTCTTTTTTTGTCTTTCTATGTCCTCTTTTTGGTGCCCATGTATCTGGCAACCCTATTTACGAGGCAGTTTGTTTCCAGAAGTTACAGCATGTGGCTTTGCTACGCCAGAAGGTTTCGGCCAATATTTTCTTCTTACTTTTTTCTGAGTTTGGAAATTGTATGTCAGAATTAATTAACAATCATTAAGTGCAAAAAACTCACCTTTAAATTAATATTAGTGTTTCAAAATTAATATTTGACAACAATTTTGCTTTTGACAAGTAGTATTATACTTGTAGTACAGTGGTGCCTCGCATAACGAGCGCCCCGTTTAATGAAGAATCCACATAGCGATTCGTTTTTTGCGATCGCAAAAGCGATCGCATTGCAGTGTTTCCTATGGGGAAAAATCGCTTTACGATTTTTCCCCATAGGCTCCCAGCAGGCACGTCACAGCAGCCGCGGGCGAGGTCTCTTCCGTGGCTGCTCTGAAGCGCTGGCCGGCCGGCATTTTTCAGCGGGCACGTCGGAGTTGCTGCACGAGAGGGCTGGCCAGGGAGGAATCGTCTCTCTCCTTGCAAGCAACACTGGGTCCTCCTTGTGCTGGGCTGAACTCAGCCAGCGCGAAGGGGACTCACCGGCAGCTGGAAGTGCGAAAACTTACTATTAAAAGAGTTACCTGTTGACAAATCATTAGCATGGTTTTGGGATGATTCCCCACCTCATTTGATGTTACAAAATCCAGTTACTGTTCAAGAAAAGGTTGACTCAAGATGTGTTAATAAAAGTTCTTTATTTCTTAATTCTGAAGCCTCTTTCATCCTTCCTGATGTAGAGTTACCTAAGCCTGTAGATGAACCCCCCCACAGGGGGTCCTCGCCGCCACGATTGGTGCCTTCAGAGGTTTCAAAGGGCTTTCCCCGACATTGGAGGAAGCCCTTTCAAAGCTCCAAAGGCAGCGGAGCGCTGGGCAGCTAGAGCAGGCCGGGGCCCTGGCTGCTCGCCCCCGGCCGCGCGGAGCCAGCAGAGCACCAGGAGGCTTCGGACTGGTAAATCCTTTTTTTAAAAAAAAAATTCTGTGTGGGTTTTGGAGGGTGGGTTTGGACTGGGAGGGTTATGTTTGTGGTTTGTATGTGTGTGTGTGTTTTTTTTTCCACTGCATTTTCGCCGCGGGTGCTTTGGCTGTATGAAAATGGGGGCTTTGGTCCTCCCAAAGACCTCATTTTCACACAGCTGATCAGCGGTTCCAAAATGGCCACCGCAACCATTTTCGCGCTGCCCTCGCTTACCGAGGCGGCGAAAATGGCGGCCAGATGGAGGATTCCCGCTTAGTGGTAAGTTTACCCCCCATAGGAACGCATTAAACGAAGTTTAATGCATTCCTATGGGGTTTTTCCATCCGTATAGCGATGTTTCCGGATAGCGACGCTTAATCTGGAACGTATTAACATCGCTATGCGGGGCACCACTTATTTATACAAATAGTATAAGGAGCCTCATGACTCAGTGGTTAAACTGCTATACTGCAGCCAAAACTGTGCTCACCACCTGGGATTCAATCCCAGGTAGCTGGCTCAAGGTTGATTCAACCTTCCATCCTTCTGAGGTCAGTAAAATGAGTACCTATGCTGGGGGTGTGTGTGGCACTGTATAGCCTGCATAATTAACTTACAAATTGCCCAGAGATTGATTTAAGGGTTATGGGGTGGTATATAAGCATCACATTTTTGTTTTTTTGTTTAGTATTTGGCCATTTATTTTCCAGAGGGCACTCCCAT